GCTGGTTTAATAGAAGCGTTGAAAAAAAAACAAATTGCACACAGTAAATTTATAATTACAAAAGTATTAACAAAATGTAAACAATAACACTACAAAAAAAACCAAAAAACAATGAGATTACAAGGTAAACGAAAAGGAAAAAGCTCGGGAGATTATACAAGATATTATGGAAAATAGTGTACAGACACTTACCAAAGAAGCAGATAGTAAATCAATTTTTTGATAAAAAAAAATATGCCTAATGCTTTTAGAATTATTGTAGTGCGTTACCATCTTGTATAATGTCTGACTTACTTGATATGAAGCAGTTCAATAACAAAATAAAACTGACCAACATATAATTTCAATCAATCTTAGTACAAAATATAGTGTTTCAACTTTCAAACTCTGTAAATAAACTGAATGGTCCATGGTGAATAAAACAACATTGAAATAGAAAAATATTACAAAAAAAAGTTTTAATATTTTAAGAATAAATTGAAAGCCTAAAAACAAACAAAATAAGAATAAAAACAAAAAATTAACAACTTCAGGTGATCAGTCGACAAATTTTGATGAGTGATAAGAAATAAGAAAAAAAATACAGCTAGTCTTGGCACAATTTAAAATCAACAAAGAAAATTGAATTTTTAAAAAACATTCGTGTTGGAAATGAATTCACGTTATATGCTGTGCCTATCCTGCAATCGAAAACCTGAAAAATGTCCTGAATCCAAAGTTAAGTATAGTGTTTGCTAAAACTGCCCCTTAGACTTATACACTAGGCACAATGTATTGCGAATTATCGACAATCCACGAGTAGTCTACAATATCGATGAAGAAACAACTCTAATCAAAAGTAAATTATTGTATCAGATTTTGTCGTACATGACGATATTAATATTCATTTTATCGTTACACTCTGTTTATTGGTTTTATAATGTATGCCTTTTTTTATATTTACTTTTCAGGGTATAGTAAAATATTATTGAGCTCATCGTTACCTTTTAAGGCGTAATTCAATAGGCAATTTGGTCGCTCGATGTGAATTAACAGTTTAGTATTATTTGAGTATGTGAGACCGGAAATGTTATTGATTCGGTTATGACAGTGCTAGCAGTCACATGGGATTCGGGCGAAGAAACAACACCGATTGAAAGGCATATAGGTTTAAGTTTCAATTCAGACGAGAATTTATTAATCAAGTGGTTTTAATTTTAGACATTAATACTATTACTAATGAGGTACAAAAGATTTCGATTTGGCAACAGGACGTGAGGAACTATATTTCGCATCAGACTGCAGTCATATTTAATTTTTGAGTTTATGGTTATAATTTTCTGTCGAAAATATTTTCCTTTAGGTAATCACTTTTTCAAACAGTAGCTGTATTAACCTTCGACGGACAAACAAACGCCTCGAACTGTAGTTGGTCGAGGTACAAAAGTACAAATGCAGCAAGAAAAGGCAAAGACGTATTGTTGAAGAGTTGCGATTCGGGATCGTCGAATCCTGTAACTCCTATAGTCAGATATCGTCCGGCCACCGTAATATGCGTCAACGATTTATTAAAATATAATAATATATTATTATGGTTCGCCCGAGAAACTAAAATGTTGCCAACAATATCACCGCACGCGATGCGTTTACCATACATTTCACTCGTGTAGGATTCACTCTCCGACTCGCCATGTTGCATCCGCATTTATCGTGCACACGTGGCGTATAGGCACAGGAGGCGGGTGGTACTTACCGTGTTGATTTAGACTGAGACGAATGTCTTGTAAACCGTTTTGCGAAACCCGACCAAGTGTGATGGGCGGCGGCGTGGTGGGGGGGGGGAAATAATGCAAATAATTCAAAAAATAGTGGCATTTGGAAATTGCCTAGACAATCGGCGCGCAATTAGACATGACCCAGTAAACACGAATCTTTGGGCCGTGATTACAGCCAGATACCCAGCGCCCCGGTAACCGGTGCAATTTTTTCCGACCGTTTTGCAAACGACCTGTTGCCCGCGTTAACATAATCTGCAATGCAACACGGCCATGTTTAGCCAACGGTTTTGGGCACAGGCGCGTATTATTACGTGTTGGGGTCACGCACGGCACACGTGTTTTCCCGTTTTAACGCGCCGTGTCCGTATAGACAATGCCCGCCGGCGTGCCGACGATTAATCGACATTTAAATTCGCCGTGTACTCGGCGCGTGCAAGTGTAAAACTGTACCACGGTATTGCCATTTTTGCGCATATAATATACGTGTGTAGCCGTTCACCGGGCACCGGCCCGCAAGTGGAATGGCAATAATAAAATATACATCATTATTGGCGTAAATCGTATAATACGATTATTATAATATCATAACACCTGTGCGATTCGTGATACCCGCTCGATGTGCGACGTTCTGCCCGTGCAGTCTCCTCCGGATTACCGCGTTACCCGAGAGTCGTAGCCAGGAGATATTATATAGATCTGCGGGAGCCAATTTTTTCCAGCCCTAATTGGCCCGAAACTCAAATTAAAAACTTGAACCCACATTTCAAGCCGGGTCGTGGTTTCTTTTTTTTTTTTGCCCAACCCGACCAGACACCCATTTGTAATCGTTTATTTTAAGTCCAACCCGACCGCGCTCGGTCAATAATTTTTTTTGTCGATAACATAGTGATATGGCCACAACCATTTACCGGGGGCAAGACATATAGTAATTATTATAATATATCATATTATATTATAATTTTCGTTAAAACGTAGATAAATGTAAAATTTGTACAATATGCGTTTTATTTTTGACCGACCAGGTCCAAAGACAAGTATGTTGATCCAACCTTAACCAACCCGCAATATTCTTCTTATGGCCCGGGCTGGACTTGTCCGACCCACGTAGATCTCTAGTATGTAGAATGTAGATATCTACGATAAAATAATATGATTATGAATTGTGCATTTTGGTCTAACACATATTGTACGTGTAAGAACGATGCATAGGCATTGACCAAACACGAAATACTGTAATTATGTGTGATTGTTCAATCAAAGTCAGCTTAGTTTTTCAACTGCTTTATCGCTATATAATGATACCCAATGATAATAACTAAATACTGCCTTCAACCGAGATGAACAGAGCAAAGTGTCTCCGCTTCTGATGTGTTTTAAATTTTTGTATTTTATTCTTGTTTTGTAATAAATCCTAAATTATCCAACCTACATACAATAATGCATTTAACTTTGTAAAACAAACAATTCGTTCAATGATTTGATTTTGAACTAATCGTGAATTAAATTGAATTGTTGAGCAACTGGTTACGCTGTTGTTCTTTTGTTTCTATATGCAGATATTTCGAAATTATAACAATCAAAGCAGTGCGATATATTTTGTATACTGTACAACACACAATAAACACATATTATGTATTATGTATCATTATAATAATATAGATACATAATACATAATAATATGAATACAACATAAAAAAAAAATAAGATAATTTTACACCGTTTAACACATTTATACTAATTGTTGAAATTAATAAAATGTTATGTTATAAAGTATAAATTAATACATTTAATAAGCTAGTTATTAAAAAAAACTAAAACAAAATAATTAGTTGTATGAATAAATTAAAAAAGTTATATTACATATTAACTATTTGACTCCTATAGTTTGTATGTGCACAAGTACCTACATTAATGTATGAACATTTTATTTTAAGTGAAGTATGTTGTTTTACAAAATCCACATAATATTATTATTCACATAGTTTTTCGCTTAATGGAAAAAAATATACTATAGAACCATTTATTTTTATAATTTTATAAAAATTAGTTAATGCTTAATGTTCCCTCAAGTGCCTTTTATTTATTTCTATCTATAAAATGTATTTTTCTCTGTCTATATTTTTTAGTTAAAAAAAAACAGCCTCAGTCATTTTATTTCCACGGAATCCACCTGCTTCCGCTAATCACCCAGCTTACTGTCAAATGCATACTAAATACAGATAACTACAGTTGATTCTTCCCTTTTCCGAGTCTTTTTTTGTCATAATCTATTGTTATATTTTCCTTCGTGTTGGCGGCTTAGCAGATTTAATATGTTTTTTCATCAACCATTTTGCTTTTAATTTCCTATAGTCATACCTTTTTTGGGCATTAAAAAAGTATTTTTTTTTAAAATAAATACATTGTGTGACAATTGGCTGTACAATATAATTTGAAAAAAATGCATTTTGGAAAAATCAAGTATAGCCAAATGTACTCATTAATTACGTTTAGCTTATAAAATATATCGTTTGAATCCATTTCAGAACATTATACCTAAAATGTAATCACATTATAATTTATAATATCTGCAGCAATGTGAATGGTATTCGGCTATTCGTGATTTGATATAATTTGATTATTAAGTATCAGTGCATGTTAAATACTATTTATATAATACGGTACATAATAAGCTTAACAGATAATAATATGAAATAATGGCAATGTGAATAACATGTGATATATCGAATGGTGAAGCCACCCATCGAGAGCGCTCATCCTTTAGTAGTTCAGCGTATATTATCACGTTATTGCCTAATACGAATGGTATTATATTTTTTTATTCAATAAATATATATATATATAATCTGTGATAATACTAATGATTATAATAATTATCATCATTAGATCATATTATTATTATCATAATAGTATTGCAGCAATGCGTGCAGCAAACACGTACACGACTACATTACCTGCTACGCCGAGCAACATATAACATGACATTCGCACATACGGTGGGTAGATTACATCGTTATAGGTACATATATTATTGTTGTACCGTTCCGGAAAATCGATTTCATTTACAATAATAATAATATTATGTAGGTACACACATCTGGTACGTACACCTAGTGTGCAGTGTGACCGTACGATATCACGTCATATTATTATTATACATTGATATGATATTATTCTTACACCCATTGTAGACCTACCGACGGCGCACCTGTCGGTATGACATATTATATTATATTATATATTAGGCATATTGTGGTATAAGTGGAAATCTAGGGTATTTACAACAATGTCAGGAGACGTAACCGGGATAATATAATATTGTATACCTACACTCGCGGCGTTTATACTACCTCATCCCTACCTACAAGTCCTATACTGCTGTTTCTTTTTTTATTTTTTTTTTGTATTCTTTCGGTTATTATGTCACGGATTGGGTCTGGTGGCAGAGAAAAACGGTGCGGCCAGTGAAAAATGGAGGGAAACTAAGGCGATACATAATTAACGGTCTCGAGCCAGTGTCCGTCATAGACCACTCCACCATCACGCCGGGAAATCGTATAGTTGTTCATTAGATAGAGTACGGCTACATTATCATTAACTTTATCGTTGTTAATATTATTGTTGTTGTGTACATTATCGTTATTTTTAGTATTGTTTGTATGATATCGTCGTGGTCGATGTTATTACTACCATTGTCAGTATCCTAGGTCAGTTCATTCGAAGTCTAGAAAACAGTGAGCCGTCCTCAGTACTCGTCGTTGTCGTCACAGACTGAACTGCTAGAGACACGCGAATATTATAATATTGTTGAGGGCCTTTGAGAAGAGACATCGGCTATCGATCTACAAGCGAAACGTCATGATCTCCGCACTACCGACCCGGGTAAGTCACCACATAATATTTCATTTCTGTTGAATTTCGACTGTAGCCACCTTAGCGATCGAACGATTTTACACAAGAACCATCCTTCCGTGAATTCTTTGAACTTATTTACGAAATATTTGTAGTACCATACCTACATGTTATATGTAGTGCGCAATAATGTAATATAATATTATATATATTATTTGCATGTAACTCGCAGTAATTAGGATAAACGCAGTGCAAAAAATAATCGCTAATAAATGTCTACCCTCACAGACATGGTTTGTAAATTATGTATCGCGTTTTTCAGTATAAATAGAACCATCTATAGCCCAATAAATTTTAAGTTCGCAAGTAAGAAAAAATCTTTAATAAACTTATATAAAATATAGGTAAAGTAATCGTATCAGATATATTATTTTGATACCTGCGTAACAAATGACGAGAATGAAATTGAAGATATTATTTTAGAACTATACTTTTGTTTTAGTATACTATTACGAGGTTGTATTGAATTACATTATACTGAGTAAATATTTCAGAGTGACTTATTTAGATGTTCATTTATAATATATAGACAAACTACAATATCTGAAACAAATATTTAGTTTTTAATAATATAGAATGTATTAAATTTACGTTTGAAAACATTTCCCAAGATATTTTATAAGATTCGTCTAGAATTAAATCTTTCAATAAAATAATGTAATTGTATTTTTTTTAAATTCTTAACGAAAATATCACTTCCATGAATAAAACATATTTAATATGAATGTCATAAAATGAGATATTTTAACGTCATTTAAATAACAACTAAATCAAATATTTATACTTCAATAATATAGAGTATTAAATCTATATTTTTGAAAACTTTTCCGGAATTCCCTTATAAGATTCGTCTATAATTAAACCTTTGAATAAAACAATATGATTGCATTTTTTTTAAATTCATAACGAGATTTTCACTTCCTAAGTGCAATTTATTTTCTGAAAATATAATAAAATGGGGTATTTGCGCTTTAATATAATAACTAATAAGGGTCTACTCTAGTATCAAATTTGACAGATTATAGATGAAAATACCTACACTGCAGACTACATGTCAAATTTAAATTTTGAAAAAAGATTTATAACTACTATATAGCACCAAAAATACAATTCGTTGTAAATTACTTTTTTTCATTCATTTAAAAATGTTAAAAGTTATAGCTCATTATTTAAAAACATGGGTTATTTTTATTATAGTTAAAAAATAGAAAAATTGTATACGATGTACAGAACAGTAGTTTTAGAATATATTTCGTAGAGCATAAAAATCTGATCGGAGTAGTTACCTATATTAAGTTTTGTCTTGGAAACGAGTACCTTCGGTGTAATCATACTAAATCGTTTGAAAATGTAATCTAAATTCATATTTTTTCTCATCACATATAATGGCATGTATTATAGACGCGAGTAAAAATTACACTTTTGTATTATGTTTCACTCTAATCTATTTTTCCCTCTTACGTAGATTACGTTAACTTTACAACGACTAAAGCAATGGATAATATTGTTATTGAAAAATGTCCCTATCTAAAACTCTCAACTATGTCTCGGTAGAGAGTGACCTAAATTTGTTTTCAGATCTTTTAATACTTTCAGTCAGTGCTAATTTAATAATTTTAATAGATTTAATTTAATTTGTGTATAAGTTTTGTAAAAAATAAATAAAATGAAGATAAAAACCTAATTGATTGCTATTTATTATAGTTAGTTTTGTACAAACTTCATCTCAGAAAAATATCGGGGATAAGGTTTTGGACAATTTTTCTTTAGACAGGAATTAATTTTAAATGCAAAATTTATAATAAGATGTACCAAATCGATAAGTATATCTATACAAACTTATGTTTAAGTCGCCATTTTATCAATTAAAGAAGATGGTTAAATTATATTTTCATATTTTAAGTCAGACTTGCTAACGGTACAAAAGGTTTTTAAATTAAAAAACTTGTTTTTTCTTACATATTTTATTGAATTCAACTAGTTAATTAAATTATTCCCTATAGCAGAATTTATTAATTAAAAAATATATGAACTATTTTAAAATGTATGATTTTTTTTTTTTATTTAAAATAAATTTTAATTTACATATTATGCGAGATAACGAAACACAATATTAAGATTTCTTCATAAAAAAAGTCAACACTATAATAAAATCGAAAATTGATTTACAGCTGTTTATTGAGTGTTGTCCACTGTCGAGTGACGTAACATTTAAATTAACCTCAACCCAAATAATGCGGTTCTCGGACGAATTGTTTACTTGGAAATAATGCACGATATTTCACATAGGTACTCGAAAATGACCATAAATATATATCTATAGATGTTGCAGACAATAAATATTTACCTACTGGGATATAATGATAATTTGTTTTGGCCAATAAAATAAAAACATCTAGAATGTTCTCGTATAACACATTAATGTTTCTAGGTAAGAATCACGCATTACTTACCCTTAAACTTGCAATATTTATAGTATACTCAGCATATTGTATCTAATTTACAATTCAATAACAACACTGTATAGTATACGTTCGTAAACATTCGATATGTTTGAAAATTATTTTAATTCTAAATGCTCAAAAACATTTTTATTTTAGAAGTTTGTTGTAGAAATTAATATTTCATTTATCATTACCAAATTTGCGAAATAAATAATAATATGATAAGATAAATCCGAATGAGTTTGAAACATAAGGACAAGACAAGTATTGTTCATAATTTCATATTTTATCAAAACTTAATTTTTTTGATTTTACTATACCATCAATCTCAATGGGAATCAAAATTATATACTTTTGGAATATGTATTTAAATTTTTAATTTAAAATCATATTTGCCAAACGACTTAATTTGGTTTTATTATTTGCACTTAAAAAACTAAAAGGTATACCTACAAACATTAAGATATTCGAACACAAGTCATGTAAATGTTATTACTTATTAGTTTCATTACAAAACACTTCGTTCAAAACTGAAATATTATGTACCTATGGATCTGTTTGAAACAACCGGTTCATTAAATGTGGGTAAGAAAATACGATGCATTATGTGGGTTGAAAATTTTGAATTTACATTTGCAGTAAATACAAATTGTGATATTGCATATAATCACAATTTACATAAGCTGTAAACACAAATTTCGATATTACATATCACAATTTACATTTGCTGTAAATACAAATTATTATATCACATATTATCATGGATATATTGCTTACAGAATGAGAATAATTTAATATAGAACACTGTGCGTATTTACCTAAATCGTTACTGTGTAACTTAAATCTATGATGTTATTCTAGCGTTTGTTCAGTAGCTAAAGTTTCGTACACACTGAACTGTGTAAATATGTTTATACCCCCGAGCTCGCCAGAAAATATTTATTGACACATTGGACCATTTCACGTTCTAAACAATTATTACAATTTTATTGTTATGCAAGCTCATAGAAAATCAGCCAAAACGTTAGATAAAATGTGTTTATAATACCTACTATAATAAGTAGGTACGCGGTACACTTATGATGGAACAGAGTCATCTAAGAGTTACCAAACAATGTTAATCACTTGGGCATACATTCTGCAGAATAGTGCAATATTAATTTTTTCGCTAACTTTAGATGTGTCAAAGAAATACCTTCGTGAAACTCTGAGACCCATATCTAATATTCTATCGTGAATAAGCACCGCATGTTTATTACATTATTAACAATGTCGCGTCAACAAGAAAGACACCGAAAGAAAGAAAAGAGTCGAAATTATTCATGACAAAGGACATAAACGAATATAGGTATCGGTTCATTGTGTTAGGACCGATAACGTGAAACTGATGTTGAAGTGGGTGCGTGTGCTGTATATTATAATATTGATATAATAACACATTAAACCTGATGATATTCTGAATCACGGGAGTTAAAATGTTTAATATTTTTTTCACAAAAAAAAAATCAATATATTTTGTCAAACGAACCACGTTTCTGCAGTTCACAATGACCACATTATTATTATTATTGTTAGATACTATTAATATGCGTTATTCACGAACTATCGGGTAATTTGTAGGGAACAAAGAAAAATAGATAGAGTTGGCATATCAACAAATTTCGCAACCACCGAAATCGAGTCATGTTCATAAAATATACTAAAAGGTGCCATAACGATTGATAAAATCAATGACGACTAATAACTAAAAGCTAAAACGAAAAACAAATCGAAACCAAAACTATATACGAGTAGGTATAATAATATTCTGATGCGCGATCATTCACAGCACACGATTTTTAATTCTGCGATGCACAAATCATGCAAGTCGTAGACTGTAGTCCCCGACAACAATAATGATACGAGAAACACGTTGTCCACAGGCTTTCAGAGTATTAGTTTTTGCGGCGTGGGCGCAGAGAGCTGTCTGGTGCCAATACTACGGTGAGCAGATAGGGGACGGTCACGGTGGTCATAACGAAGAACACCACGAAGATCATCACGTAAGTACTTTATAATCGTACAAATCTAGATCGTAACACTATATAGATTAATCATAGAAGTGAAAGAAATCATTGGCATCTGCTTTATTGATTGAAACTGTATACCTATAATATGATGTGAGCGATTCAGGCGAACTGGGTTCTCGATTGATTCGATATCGAATAAAATAATGAAAACATAATATATTAGATCGTCGTGATGAGGAAAGGAGAAAAACTCGATGTCAATGTGACCAACCAAAACACAAATCAACTTTAGGCGGAAACGCAATATGCATGCGGGGAAACTATTTTAATTTCTAAATTAGCCTTTTTCCGTTTCTGTCGGACAATATAATAATTAACAACACTGTAATCGATTTTACAAAAATTTAAATCACTGGGTAGTTTTGAATTTGGACTTTCGGTTCGTTCACAGGTGAAGCCGCTTTACAAGTACGGATATTGGGTGCACGATCCGAAAACGAAGGATGTCAAGAGCCACTGGGAGCATCGGGACGGGGACACGGTGCACGGTTCATATTCGTTTCTTCAACCGGACGGACACATGAGGGTGGTCGAGTATACGGCCGACAAGCATAACGGTTTCAACGCACACGTCAAATACATGTACGATGGACACGCGGGAGGCAGCGACGGGGGCAGCGGCGACGGCGGCGGGTTTGGGGGAAGCGGCGGCGGTGGAGGATTCGGCGGCGGCTTTGACAACCATCTGGAGGACGCGTCGGGAAAACAGTCGGCACCGATCGGCGGTGGTGGTGCCGGCGGAGTGGGAGGCCGACCGAAGCAGCCGTTGCACAAGTTCTACAAGAAACCGCGGACGGAAAAACACGGTGGCCAACCGGGTCAGTACAAAAAGCCGCATCAGTTCGACGGCCGTCCCAAACCGGTGGGCGGCGGCTTCAAGAAACAGCGTCTGTCGCCATCCGCGGAACAGTCGGCAGAACACCACCTCGGTGGCAGGCCCAACAGCCATTTCGATCAGTTGCCCAAGTTCGGCGCCCCCGGACATCATCACGCCAATCCACTGGGTGGTGGCGGCGCAGAAAGCCCCGAACGTTATCACGGAAATCAGCTGGGTGGCGTCAGTAGCCCCGAACGTTATCAGGCGAACCACTTGGGCGGCGCCAGTCCGTTCGGGTATCTCGCCGAAGAACAGGGCGCCGATCAACCGGCCGACCACTTTTCCCGCAAGTACTCGTCCACGGCGTCGGCGGACACGTCCGCTTACCTGACTGGCATCCAGCACCTGTCGTCCGAACACGACCCGGTGGTGCACCGTCAGCCGGACGTCGCTCCCGCCGCGTCGACGGAACGCCAGCACCACAGCGGTTCGTCCGGAGAACGACAGCAACAGGTGCCGGGCTCGGAACTGCAGCCACCTCGACCGTTACAGGTGGACGGGCCGTCCGAAGAGCCACGCGACGACGGAAGCGCGCCGATGCAGTACGATGACACCGACAACCGCTCGAGGGAACGGGACGAAAGGGACGACAGTGACAGCAGGGACGACAGGGACAGCAAGGACGATAGGGACAGCAGGGATGGCCGGGACGACAGGGACGACCGGGATTACCGAGACGACCACGCGGCCGACTCCTTCGACGAAACACCGGTGACGGTTCAAAAGCAACCATTGCGGGAATACCGTTTCGAGGAGCCGCCATACCCGTTCGAAATTCCCGAGAGCGTTCAAATCTCCGGCAAATACCAAAAGAGACACACTCCACAGCCGCCGCTGCCGGTTAACGTGCACAGGTACATGCCGGCATCGTCGTACTTTCCCAGCTGGTTCGGCGGTAGCAGACACTACGATTAGAGAGTATTGGGATCGGCCGAGTCGCGACCAAGTCGACCGGCTATTTTCAAGCAGCAATAATATTAATATTATATTTTTTGTTATTTTTATTGTTAAATTGTTTTAGTTTACTATCAATGTTTGCATATTGGTAACTCAGTAACTATATAAGGCATCATTTGCCTATACTGCAATGTTTTTGCTTCATACACATTGGGGTAAAGTCGAACAGAATAACGTGTCGTCGTCGTCGAATCGATCCGAATACCTACATACCACATATTCGGTACCCACTGTCGTATTTGTATATAGATAGCTTGACTTACGACACTAAATGTCTTATAATTGGCATTATGCTACAAATTATGATAAATCAGTATTACCATAATATTTGAGTACAAAATAATATAGCATAACGCATAAGTATGTGCGCATTAATCTATTCGTATTAAAACCCTGCAACCACAACGACGCCAAGGAACAACAACGAGAACAACAGCAACAAAAACAACAATTTAAACTACAGCCTTTGATGTACAAGCCTCTTTTCGATAAAGAAACTCTATAGTAACCGTTGCAGGAATTTCTGCCGTTTCGACACAAACCGACAACGAACCCGTTCAAAATATTGTCGTGAACGTACATGTACCTGTTCGAAAAACACTGTTAAGACAAAGCTATAAGGGTTCATCATCCACAGGCAGCAGTATCTGGCAGTGGATTGCTTGAAAATGTCGTCACCGAAAAATCATTTAATTATCAATGGATATCACCACATAGTCAAAGCTTGTTCGTTTCCGTTTGGTCCACAGGAAATCGTTTTGGTATCCCACCTGCCCAACACTAACGCATATCCTGAACTACAACGATTATTTTCCACAAATATATTTTAAAGTATCGATTTTCATTTGTACAATTAGTAAATTGTCATTTTTAAATCAAGTCGATACAAATTTCAAGCAATTCGTATTACTATAAGGTATAAATTAATTAAATATTAGGTACAAAATAATTATTTAGGTTCATTTTTGACTTTGTAGTTAGACTATTAACTATACTGTTATTAGTATATTATGTTAAGTGTTATCGTATGTGTAATGTGTATTATACTATTGTGTTAGTTATTCCTACTAAAATAAAAAATATACCTACTACAATATTAGATTTCATTATTTAATTATTCAAATTATTAAAAAAGTTATTTGAAAGTATATTGACGTATAAAATGAATCAGGTATGTAATATTTAAAACAAACTAACAAAATAACTTATTGAAATATGAAAATGTACTCTTATAGATTCTGAGTGCAGGAGCGATGGATTTTCTTTATATTTTTCTTTTCTAAATAATTGCAATGAATTATTGTAACTATTTTAATGTGTTACAAATGTAAAATATTGAATATTTATGGTTACTAATGTACTATCTGCTCAATTATATATTATTTTATACTTACAGAACATTTAAAAGTTTCAATGACTATTTAAATTTAGGTTTTTGATCTTTACTTTATACTTCAATATTATGAGATTGTAGGCCTTTACCTTAGCAACATACTAAATAATCATCATACACTCAATGCAAAACCACAGTTAAAGTATAAAATATTATTTTAGTGTAAACTGGGGATATAAAGTGTGGTCAATTAATCATAAATATCGAATGTGAAAAAAATTATATTTTTATTATTTATATTAATACAACAACAAATTAACTGTATAAACAATTTAATATCAGCATCCTCATTTTTAATAACTCACTTCATTAGGCTGGAAGAATAACTTAATAAATTGAAATAAATATCTTAAAAACGTTGTCTTAACGTGTACATTATTTTAACGTTTTTTAAGTTGCCTATATTGGTTGACTTATCATCATGGACCTGATACTAATAGACTATATGTATAAGTTCTATGCTTATCATATACATAAATATATATAAATATGTTGGTTGTAATAGTAATCATATAAATATTTAAACATGACAATAACTGTAAAAAGTAATTTATGTTATTAGTTGTATAAATAAGTTAGTTATAATAATTGTCAATTTAATTACTTCATAGAAGGTTATAAAACAAGAACAAGAGCATCAACACGGCAACTTGTTTGACTGTAAAAAAAATCATATATATTTATGAAACGTACTATAGAACGGTCAGTTACATAGTTACACTCTAACTTGGCTAAAAGGAAATTATCGTAATTTATCTTGAACGTCTACTGCACATAAAAAGCTGTTTTCCTTCTATTTTTTTTTTGTTCCCACGATGTGCGTTTGTAAAGTTTTTGGATTGTATCTTTGGATATTATTTATTTTAAATGTGCGTGCGTGTGTGTGTGTGTGTGTGTGTGTGTGTGTGTGTGTGTGTGGTCTATATTATAATGAACAAACTAAAATAATAATATGAAGTTTAATCAGAAAATAAGATAAGGATGCCAGATTTTAATTAAATTATATATTATATATGAATCATAACTTACAACACCGACGTAATATACGATAGCGTATACCAAAAATTAAAGATAAATAACAAAACTCTTCAGTTTTTCTGCCAAACTTCACGAACTATTTTAGTGTATTTCAAAAAAAAAAACTATTGCTGCAAGTGTACAAGAACAAGTATTGTTCTAGTTACTAAACTAAAAAAATACAATCAAATATTCACTAACAGTACAATCTGAAATCTGCATACAGCAAGTTCCCATTATAATCCTAAAATAATTTTGTGAACTATAAAGTTAGCTTAAATTCTTATAAATTTTTTTTTAAATAAAAATTATACAACAGCGTTAGCGAGATTGCAAATCACAAAAAAATAAAAATAAATTCGCTATACGTCTTTGTTTCCGTCCATCTAAGCGACACTTACAATTTAGATGATTTGTCATCCATGACGTTCTACAGACACTTTTAGTTCAGTAGACAATAACGATTTTTAAAATGTTTAAGTATTTGCACTCGTCGTAGTGAAATCATGCAGTGTAATTTATAGTTGCATAATCGGTGTAATGTTAAATGTAACTTTATAAAAAAATTCATGAAGACATCATAATATTATCATAAATTAAAAATATACAATATTTTCGTTATAATTTAGGAATTGCTAATTAAACTATGAGATTTCATTTGTATTTAAAAAAAAAATATATCGGAAACACAACGAATATTTGTGGATTCATTATTATAACTTATAAGCTTATATTTCCCTTTTAAACTTAGGTACAGTTCACTCCCGCTTGCAGTACATACGACATTAACTTAGTTCAGAATCTCTATTCAATCAATGGTTAATAATCAGATTGGAGCTACAGAACCTCATAACATAAACTTATAAATGTATTGTACTTACAATACTTTATATTTAAACGAGTATTGAGTCTTTTCCCAATCACAATTTTAAACTTTTTTCGTGTGTAATTTTTTCTGTTTAAACATACCTTTGTTGTTATAGGTATATTTAAAACTGCAGTTATCGGGGATTAGACCACTTGAACAAATAAATGATAACAAACAATGAACATATAATATATGTAAGGATAAAAACGGATACCCGAAGAAGTAAAACAATAATAATAAGAAAACACATGCAAACACAATCTAATTATTATGCTCTATATTATTTATTGAAGTTCTGTGGAAATAATTTTATCCACATTATGAAATCTGTCATTTTCATATATTCTTTCAAAATGTCTTTGTCTTAAATTAATCGGAACTGAACTGTTTTATTAATTGCAAAGACGTTAATTATTTTATGTACGTCCTGACAGCGACTGGTAGTATTACATTTCTTGATAGTTTATAGAATTTCCTTTAAGACTCATGATCTAATGTAAGATATGCCAATTAGTACTAGGTACGTCCCTTATGTGTGTATATATGTTTTCAAAACAAGAAATATACAATCTACGTATCGTATATATACCTAAGTTCACAATATGTTTATATAATATATGGGATACGGGTGAGATAAATTATAAATAAAAAAATAAATACACATACCTATGTTTAGTTGTACAGACTCCGAGGAGAAAAGACACACATTGATGTCGCTCGCAAAAGTTCAAAATATAAATACGAAAATAGGTGTAATATACTAATTGCATCGCTGTTTTTCTTCTTTGTGTATTCGAGTCACCTCCCAAGTTAACTATTTCACTCGACTTGACTAAAAACCCGTAATATACTTTACACGTGTCTTTGGAATACATATATTATAATTTTTATACATTTATACAGGTACTATTGAGAAAAAAACAAAAGTTAATGAGTAGTAGGTATATTATAATTTACAATAGGAAATTCTTTTGTTGCACACTGAGCTTTAGACTCAAAGAAAGTATGCTCATCCTATGAATTACTAGTTACATAAATGTATAATAGTGGTGTAGTGTATTATTTCAGTGATATTGCATTAAATAATGATATTAATTAAAATCAACTCTATAAATAAATGCTACTAATGAGTAAAAAAACATCTTGGTTTATAATCCGAGAAGTTTTGTAGTCCAGTGTAAAAAAAAGGAATGAATTATTAACAAATAAACTCTAGGGTCTTAGTATCGTTAACCTTGACCGAAAAATGTCTATTGTTGAAGCTGTAAACGACGATTTATAATGATTAATGAATTATCAATTATTGATACAACGGTTTTTCATGAACAGGTGTTAAAACGTATATTTTATACTTTGTTGAGTGCATTTATCTAGTTTAAGCTATAAAATATACAAAGTATGAATATTTACATCATAACAGTGATTTCATATTTAGATATTATTAGATGAATCATATATTATGTATATTACATATTGCAGATCGAATGCGGCGGACTGATAACATAATAAATTATAGTTCATTCGGTATTGTATTGGAGTTTTTCATTTCAAAACAAAATACAAAACCATAATACCTATAACACTAGATAAGAGTATTATGATACATAGAAAAAATCCACATTTCTGTCAACAAATTATATTCCAGGGTAGACTGCTAAGCAATTGTGTTAAATTTAATCTATTCCCAAACAATGCTACCAGCATCATTTACAGAATTTTAATACTGTTATTTATTATCCAATTTTTTTCAAAAGGAATGTTTTAATTTTTTCTTCATCGAAGGTTTTTTATACTTTGCAGAAATATTCGTTATTCTATTGATGTTATCTACTTTGAATTGCTATCAATTTAGTTTTTAACCGTTTCACACTGGCCGTGTAATTGCATTTAATATGCATTTTAATTCGTCAGAGAAAAAATATCGCTACTGTATCTATCCTACGGAATATAATATAATAAACGCGTTTTTATAAAATGCGTGCGTTTTGCGTGCAATGTACGAATATTTAGGATTATAGGAGAATTTGCATGTCAAATTAATAAAAAACTATTGGTGTGCATAACGTGTACCTATTATTATTTAAATGATTTATTTTTAAGCAACTGTAATTGAACTCGACCCGCGTACATACATAAATATTAAAATATATAAATAACATTGTAGCAATAGTTAAATAAAACAACCTATTGTCTATGAGTACATACTGTTAAGTTAGTTTAGGTTAGATAA